ATCCCGTGAATAACTCGGAAGTCATTCCAAGAAACATGTAGGAAGCAAATAGACTGAAGAAGCAACAACTTTTCTCAGGGCAAAGTAGACATGCTGGGACAGAGAAAGAGCGCAGTTCCCAAGACAAGGTGACAGGTAGACATCAATGTTCACAACTGCAGGGAGCAGAAGCCAGGGAGCCCTATACACCAAGGGGAGCAAAGTCGGTGTAGGAAAACCTAAGCAGTAATTGATAGTTTGCTAAAGGGCTAGTCTGGAGATTCCCAGGCTTCTGAGTTTTGGCTCTCTAAGTTCTAGCAGTTTCTCAAAGCATCAGGTCGAGATATATATGTGTGTGTGTGTGTGTGTGTGTGTGTGTGTGTGTGTGTGTGTGTGTGTATGGGTGAAGCAGTAGAAAGTATGTGTATGTATATGTACATGTCCATGCATATGTAATGTATATGTACATGTATATGTATATGTATATGTACATGTATATGTATATGTATATATGGCAGGGGTGAGGGGAGTAACTCCTTTGACTTATACCAGAGCTGTTTTTAACAAGGTCAGTGATCCTGTGAAACTAACTGTGAGTCTAACTGTGGCTCTAATTGTGTGGATTTAATTAGAATCTAACTGACTCAAGGGAAAGGAAATGCTGAACTCTAGTCCACTGTGGCTGTCCAGGGCCACCTAAAAGGGTAGAGAACTGATACCCAAACAACAATAAATAAAACACCCCCCCAAAAAAAAAACAAAACAGCAACAACAACAGGAACAAAAAAAAAACAACAACAAAACCAAGCCCCACAGACAAACAGCTGGCAGGTGCTTGTAAAACAGCACAAAGCCAAATCCCAGCACTCAAGAGGCAGAGGCAGGTAGATCTTTGTGAGTTCGAGGCCAGCCTGGTATACAGAATGAGATCCAGGAAAGGCACAAAGCTACACAGAGAAACCCTGTCTTGAAAAACCAAAAAAAAAAAAAAAGCACAAAGCCACAGTCCTTAGAATACCAAGATCTAATAATAGGACTATAGAATACCTCTTCTCACACACTATATAAGGATATTGTAAGACCTAATTATAGGACCATAGAACATTTCTCCCCACACACTCTACAATGGTATTGTAAAGACCTATTTATAGGTCTCTTTACCTACTACATCATATCCAGCTTTCAAGAAACAATTACAAAGGAAGGAAGCAAACAGAGTCTGTAGAGAAAAGTAAGAATTAATTAGTTCCAGACTCTGATATATATCAAAGATGTTGGAATAATGAGACTAGTAAATTTAGGCAACTATAATTTCTGTGTAAATGGCTCTTTGTATGTAATAGATAGTGTACAACTCTGGAGACACTCTAAACAGAAACAAAATTTTAACTAAAAATAAATACAAACTCTTATTTGTATACATCTACAAATATGTAAAATTTTGTATAAGTATACAAATACAATACAAACTAAGTACAACTGCTGTGGATTAATATGATAACAGAATTGAAGAATGCTTTGGATATCAGTAAATTATATACAGAGATAAAATTCTAGGAACCCAAAGAAGACTCAGTGGAATGAGATCTCACATACTATTGCCACTGCCCTAAACTAATATAATCCTAGTTGCATTCTAAACACTTATCTTTATACCCATAGAGAACTGTAATTCTCACCCCTCATCAAAGAAGCATCTTTTTATAACAGATGGAGACCATTCCAGAAAACCACAACTGGTCAAAATGTAGAGAATGGATTGTGGGCTTCCCAAAGAAATTAACATACCTATAACACAGTATCCACAACTGAGTCTTGGGTGACATCATGGAAGGGGGAGGTCAGAAAGATTAGAAGAGAGACAGAGGACCAGGAAGTCTTCTGTGAGATTTTGTTTCTTAATAATGACAGGAAATCTGCTTTCATGATACCTCAACAATATGGCTGCATAAATAAGACCCAAACAATGGCATCACCAGTTGGTATTCAGGGCAAATGGGTCTCTGTAGCAGGAATCTCAAAAGGTCTTATTAATAAAAACAAACCCGAGGCCAGTTATTGGGGTGAATGCTGGAAGATCAGAGAAAGAGAACAAGCCACAGCCACCTCACCTCACCAATTCCTCAGCTGATCCTGTTTCCTCAGACTGGAAGCCTCTAGTTTCTGGTCTTCAAAGCCTTATATACCTTTCTGCTTTCTGCCATCACTCCCTGAGATTAAAGGCTCTTGTTATCATGCCTGGCTGTTTCCTGTGTGGCCTTGAACTCACAGAGATCTAGGCAGATCTCTGCCTCTGGAATGCTAGGATTAAAGGTGTGAGTGCCACCATTTTCTGGCCTCTATGTCTGTCTAGTGGCTGTTCTGTTCTCTGACTCCAGATAAATTTATTAGGGTGCACAATATATTGGGGAACACAATGTCACCACAGGTCTCTACCTCAAGTTGAACAACTACAGGCAGTTAATGACTGCTGAGAGAGGGAGAATTAATCTTCTCCAGGGGTGAGGCCTGAACAAGCAAAGCAAAATGGACTCATCAGGCTGTGTTTATGTATTTCTTCATTTACATATACAAAACAATAATACTTAAAGAAAGAAGCCATCAATTTGGGAGAAGGGCATGGGAAGGATTGGAGGCAGGAGAGGGAGGGGGATAATAATGTAATTATATTTTAATGAAAAATAAAATACATTTTAAAAGGAAACTTCCAGAACTTCAAAGCAAAAGGAAAAATGACGAGAGAGAGAGAGAGAGAGAGAGAGAGAGAGAGAGAGAGAGGAAAAGAAAACAAAATGTAATATCGAAGACCTATGACACTACCACAGAATATGTAAGTATATATGATAAGTCCAAAAGAAAGAGGAAGGTATTGGAGAAATTATTTTGGCCACTCCACGTAGTTAAAAGGATATTTATTTAATGGTGTAACTCACAAATTAAGTAATGGGTAGGTCGCAGGGTCTGGGGAAGGTGTAA